GGACAAGTTTCTTAAAATACACAAAATATACAAACCACCATTCTCTATGAAATGGTGATTATGCTTACTGTATTTTCTCTTCCATATGAGGTAATAATTGTTTGATAATTTTGTAGTTTATACTTCCCTAAAATATAAATAAGATGTTTCAGCATCTATATTAATGTGGACATGTAGATATGACAAATACACATTTTTTAAAATAGGTGTGTAACTTTTTTGAGGGAAGAGGTGGGAAGATCACTGCATATTTTAATGGAAAAAAAACACATCAGAGGGTGCTAAAAAAAAAAGCTGTCGAAAATAGGGATAATTTGACAATCACACTACTTGAAACATGTTATCTAGCTAAAGAGATAATAGGACCCAGTTTTGAGAAAGTAAAATTAAATTATTCATTCTCTTCATAAAATATTAATTTAAATGAAAATAATATATCAATTTAAATAAAAGGAATGAATTAACTTCAATAAATGTTTTATATATTAGTTAATTTTTAAATTTTCACAGGTTAAGAAACTAAATTAAATTTTAATTAAAAAATTAAATTAAATGTATCACTTTAAAATTGTATTTCAATTTTATTTTGTTTTGTTTTGATTTTCGAGACAGGGTTGCTTTGTGTAGCCTTGGCTGTCCTATCATTTTGTAGACCAGGCTGGCCTCAAACTCACAGAGATCAGGTATGCACCACTGAGCCTGGCTATATTTCAATTTTCAATTCTAGTGTTGCTTTTAAAGCATGAAGAGGTCTGTTCTCTATCCATCCTTCATCGATTATATGATGCCTGTGTTTTAGCCTCTGGATTGCTTTCCTTCCCCTCTTTTACTTGTTCTTTTCCTTTCTTCTCCTTGCTTTATTCTCTTCAGTGGTCTTTTAAACTATTAAATATTCATAGTCTTATTCCATAATGACTGTGATTCTTTTAGAAAGCAACACAGTCTTTCACAGGACTTTTTCTTTCCCTGTCCATTCTTTAATCATGTTTTTCTGTGAAGTACAATTAAATGAACTCTATCAACACATAAGCCCATTAATATTTCCAGAACACTGTCTTCGTGTTCTGCTGCTGTGAGGAATAGCAGAGCTACTCTTACAAAAGAGAGGATTTAACTGCTTACAATTTCAGAGATTCCGTCCACCATACTCACGGCAGGAGCATGGCAGACGTCATGTTGAAGAAGGAGCTGAAAGTTCCCCAGCCAGCTCCACAGGCAACAGAAAGAAACACACACACTAGATCTGGCTTGAGTGTTTGAAATTTCAGAACCATCCCCAGTGACACACTTCCTCCAACAAGCCCACACCCCTCCCCAACAAGGCCACACCTCCTAATAGTGCCTCTCCCTGGTGACCAAGCATTCAAATTTATTAGCCTGTGGGGGCCATTCTTATTCAAAACACCACAGATATTTTATGTAGTATTACCTTAATATTTTTTCTACCTGTAATATTCATTAATGTTAATTTTTCCCAAATGTTAATACATTCCAAATGTTAATACTTACACTATGAGATTTTATGTACAGCTTTTATTTTTTCAATTTCACTTCATTTATTATTTGGTACTTTATTTTGAAACATGGGTTTTATATCTCTCTGCCTCTACTTCTCCTCCTTCTTTAGTATCTGATAGAGTCTCATATATGCAGGCTGGCTTGAACTCACTGTGTAGCTGAGGCTGGCTTTGAACTCTTGAGTTTCCTGTCTACACCTCCCAAATGCAAGAATTATAGACATGTGCCACAATGCCAGATTTATTTCTTCTTTCTATGAGTTCTAGGTTTGAGCTACATTGTTGAATAAATTTCTTTGTTTTTCTGAGTAACATTATTATTTGTTTGATAAACTGACATGTTAAAACTATACATATTTGTAGGCTACCAAATGGTAATTCAATTCATGTGTACATTAAGCGGCATTCAAATCAGGTTAATCAAGCCACGTGCCTCAAATATTTATCATTTCATTGCATAAAAATATTCAATTTTTCTTCCAAGCTCTAGAATATTATTCTTTTAATACAATCAAGGAAGTATGGCTTTCAAGACATCAAGACACAAACATTGGTTGAAATTAATTTTCTACTGCCATTTATCCATTATTCCAAAATATTATCATACATCCTTTACGTATGCAGTACTCAAGGCCTCAAAGCTTTACCCAGATCTGGAGCAGGTGCCTACCCTGTGAGGACAGCAGACACACAGGTTTCTTTTCATCTTCACACAAGTCTGCTTCAGAAGAAAAGTCACTCAAAAACTGCTTTAAGATGACTTCAGTAAACATGTCCTTTTCTCTCTTCAGTTAGAAATATTAAAGAGTAAGTTCTAAATGTCTCTGAATAGAGGGAAACTTATCAAAAGCTTCACAAGTATCACACAGTTAAGGATGTGAGGTTAAACTGCGAAGACGGAAGCCGACAGTGTAATGACATGGAAACTTTAATTAGCAAAGTTTTTCATCTGCCTTTCTCCCAAGTGAGAAGGTAGGAGGCAACAGCTCATTGGCTATTGGAGTTTGGACCTAGAAAAGGAATCTATGACCTATAAAAGTACATTTCCCAGGAAGGAAATGCTTCAGTATCTTTAATGCTATCATTTCTATCTACTTCTATTGGCTCCAAATACTGAGTGAGCCCTCTTTCCAAGGGAGGTAATCAGGGTAAGGACATGGGAAAAACAGAGAACCGTTGGACATACCTATGATGCAGTGACATTATAGTCATGTATGAAAATCTCACAATAAGCCCAATATTTTGTAGAGTTAATATATATACTGGTAATCATTAAAAAAAAAAAAAGAATTCCCATCCCTCCACCTCAGGAATGACTTGATAAATGGAAGGCACTTGTCAGTCTTTCTATACCTTTTAGGCACAGAGACACAGTCTTTTGATAACCAGTTTATTTACATATTTAGGTTTGGTTTCAGGTCCTCCTTTGAGACTCAGTCAGTGTTCAATCCAGCAAAAACAGGAATGTCTTTATACTTGGAAATAATACTGTAAGCTTTGTGAATTCCTTGGACATGATACTGTAGTTTCAGCTGTGGATTGCCATGGCTGTTTTATCTGAAGGCTGAGATTCAAAGGAACCCATGCTGATGAACTAAGGCTGCCAATTCAAAGGTTTAGCATAGCTTTCCAGGACTGGGTGTGTGCTCATTGCTCATCTACTCTAGTTTGGGTTCTGGGAGGCTCTAGTTTTGGCCAACTCTTTCTTTCCTTTGCAGATTTTATGTATGACATGGTCAGGGACCCTGCTGAGTTAGACCTTGCTGGTATCTGTCTCTCTATTCCTAAACAACTGGTCTTAGTGTAGCATCAAGATTACTAACAATAATTGTCCAAAAAGGGTGGCAAAATATACCTCTTTTCTCCAGCCCTGTCTTTGTAAAAATGATTGAACTTTGCACACTTATGTAAAAATAACATATCATAGTAGATTTAAGGTAGAAGTTATGAAATTATATTTGTTGTCAAGCCAAGTAGTTTGAAAACATGAAAAGTACATAAAACAATACTCCATGTTTACTTATAAATATGCTGTTCTCATTTATGCTAGATGAATGATTATTTACAATACCTAAGTTTAATATTTTTTTAAATTAGACTTTTAAAACTCTAATGTTGATAGATATAATCCGTATAAACAAGTCCCTCCTGAATTTTTTAAGTACAAATATATGTCCTGAAAACAAATGTTTGAGAAAGCATTGGTGGCAGCTGTGTTTATAGATTTTGCTCTGAATGTGGCTGGTAATGTGGATCCAGCGAACAGTACTTTGAAGTCCTTTGGACCTGTATGTCTCACATGATATTCCTTTCTGCAAACATGATGTTCCTTCTCTCCGGAAGAATTTCTTTTTCCTTGCATCTCTGCTAGTCCTCATCCTACTCCAAGCTCTTTTCCAGGAAGAGTTCCTGTCAAGTTCTCTTTGAAACCATGTTGCTATACTTCTGAATTTTCTTCCTAGTCATTTGTTTATCCATCAAAAAAAAAAAATAATTAAACTATCTCTTTCCAAAGGGCGAAAAATCCTGTGATCCTGGATGAATGACTATTTGAAACATCTGAGGTTGTATTTTATTTTTAAGCATAGCTGTCAGCGATGTATTCTCAAACATTTGCTTTCAGGCAATTTTTGTACTGTTAAAAAATCAGGGGGTCTTGTGTATGTGCATTATAACTATAGGCATTAGAGCTGTGAGATTCTAATTTAAAAATAAACATGCATTCATGCTTCAGGATTTATGCATATTATATTCATTTTGTTAGCAGGCCACTCAGACCAAAGTTGAATAATGAAAAAAAATTACGAGTTAGAGAATGCGTCCATGAATTAACAGTGAAATGGATGGAGTTACAACAGATTTGATGAGGCATGAAAGATTCCTTCAATAATAAAAGATAAAATTCTGGAAGAAACTACAACAAATCTACTTTGCATCACTTATTCTTTTGCTTTATGCAGTTTCAGCATTACACATCACTACTGTCTCTATTTTATAGAGGAATCAGGAAATCAAAACTATATACAGTAAGATTTGCTTACGCTAACATGTATTCTTGAGAAAGCCTGGTGAGACACAAGTGTTAGCAAACAACATGCTACCTGTTAAAGGACTCTTTATTGCCTATATATTGTGTTAAAATTTTGTAGTCTCTATGTTTGCTTTTTTTCCTACAAGGCCATCAATTATCTCTTCAAACCTAAGACTCTACTGCTCTGCAACACATCTACTTATGATTTCTTTTATCTCCCTGGTTGCTAGTCTACCATCTTATATAGCATGTCTTCTTACAAATATCTGAATGATGTGATCCCCATGATGCTATTTACTCCTTAAGGGTTTGGACTGTGCACTATATCCATAACATACAATTACGTGTTTAACACAAATATCCAGTAAGTGGACATTTGAAACAGTGACTCGCTAAATACTTAATAAATAACATTAATTATTTCTCAACTTGTTTTTGTTAAACTCTTCTAGCTAAAACTCAAGTCATGGGAGAAATCAAGCTAGCATTGAAAAAGGAAATGAAAACGGATGGTGAACAACTGATAGTTGAAATTCTCCAGTGCAGAAATATTACCTACAAATTCAAGTCTCCGGATCATTTACCAGGTATCTCTTTTCATGATGATGATCAATGAAAGATACCTACTAGCTTACTAGGACCATGTCTTAAAGATTAAGATAAATTTTAGCTGAAATTTTGCCTGTGTATGAAGCACATTAGAAAAGGATATTTTGATGTCCACTTTAAGGATAAATTTGTTTTTCTAGACTTGAGCTAGATTTTTCAGCATATAAATTAGGGTGTTACAACAGTTAATTTAGGTAAAACTCACTTAAATGTATAAGAAAAGGGTATACTTATAATCATTTCATGTTTTCTGCAACAAATTGTATGCAATTTACTTTGCTTGTGTAGAATATAGTGAGAACATTAGCATTTAACAGAAATCGCTGTGATTGACTGATGGATACTTGATGGACTTATGTCTGATTTTCAGATTTATATGTGAAGATATATGTGATAAACATCTCTACTCAAAAAAAGGTTATCAAAAAGAAAACAAGGGTGTGCAGACATGATAGAGAGCCTTCCTTCAATGAAACTTTTAGATTCAGCCTAAGTCCTGCTGGTCATTCTCTTCAGGTAACTCTATTATACATTACTGATTTAGTTTTTTTCACTTTTATAATTATATTTTTATCCATTCAATTATTCTCTGTTTATATTTGGATCATGTACGATATGATAGTTAATCTTTAGAAGCATCACCCCAAGAGCGCTTTGAACCCTCTTAGCCCATTCATTTTAGCCAGTCACCTACCATCTCTCTACTCTGTTTTGCTGCTTTAGATGGATTTCTCGTGCACCGATGGTCACTCTCATTAAACCTTCTTTGTTATTTACAGCATTTTTGTTAATTCACCTGGTCAGTTTCTCACGGATGTCTTTCCTCCTCAGTTTCATCATACTGCTGCCAGAGTTATCTTTACAAGACACTGTTTGGTTTCCATGAAAGCTTTTATTGCATCATTCAAAACTGAATTAGTTCCAGTTCTTTGTAACTTCTTTATATTCCAGACAAATCTGAGTCTTTCTAAATTAAACCTTGAGTTATTTGCTCATATTTTTCTCCCCTTCAAATCTTTCTTCTCACATACCAACCATATTCAATCTTTCAATAAATATTTTTACTAAGCACTTAGGTATAATTCATAACACCTTATACTCAAATTATCTTACTTATTACTCTACTATGAAAAGTTTCTTGTATACAATAATTTATATATTTACCTGCCACTATTTCTCTTTTGCAGGGCCTAATTTTCATTAGCTTTTTCCTTGCAGTCTAGCAGAATGATTTTCACATATCATTCCTTCAGTAGGAGGAAGTGGTGGGGTGGAAGAAACTTGATAGAGGGGAATGGATAGAAGTATATGACTCCATTTCATGATACCAGCGCTCAATGCCTTGCAGTGGAGATAAACATATATTCCAAAGTTAAGTTCAGGGATGGTAGGGGTAACTCAGTGATTAACAATATTTACTGTTCTTCCAGAGGAGCCAAGTTCACCACCCAAGAGCTATGTCAGCTGCCTCTCAACCTCTATCTTCAGCTTCAGGGGCTCTGAAATTCTCCTCTGGACTCTGCCAGGAGCACATATAAATGAATTAAATTTAAAATATACATGTATATGTTTTATATACATATTTTTGAAAAACAAAGTTTCATTGACAGAATTAGCTAGTATAAAGGTAGAAAGGAATAAATAATTAAAGACAAAAGTCTAAAGCCTATGAAAACAAAGGTATCATTCAGAGATTAAGAAGGAGAGCAATGAGCAAGAAACATCATGAGTTTTTCTGAAATTAACTTGATATGAGGATAAGGACTCAAGTGCATTTTAAAAAAATATGTAAAATCCCCAAACTCAAAACTTGTCATCAATTTAAGCCTATGAGTTTTGCCCTCTATATCTTATATTTGCCTATCCTTCAGAGTGTGTGATTTGAGGATATAATAAAATTTAGGCAAGATCCACCTGTACCACTCCTAGGCATATATCCAAAAGAAACTCAAGTACACAACAAGGACATTTGCTCAACCATGTTTGTAGCAGCTTTATTCATAATAACCAGAAACTGGAAACAACCCAGATGTCCATCAATGGAAGAATGGATATAGAAATTGTGGTACTTTTACACAATGGAATACTACTCAGCAATTAAAATGAGGAAATCATGAAATTTGCAGGCAAATGGTGGGATCTAGAAAAGATCATCCTGAGTGAGGTATCCCAGGAGCAGAAAGACACACATGGTGTCTCACTTATATAGACTCACTTATATAGACCTATAAAATAGGATAAACATACTAAAATATATGCACCTAAAAAAGATAAACAAGAAAGAGGACCCGGGGTAAGATGACCAATCCTCACTTAGAAAAACAAATGGGATGGACATGGGAAGTAGGAGAAAACAAGTAACAGTACAGGAGTCTACCACAGAGGGCCTCTGAAAGACTCTTCCTAGCAGTGTATCAAAGCAGATGCTGAGACTCATAACCAAATCTTCAGCAGAGTGCAGAGAATCATACGATAAAAGGGGGAGTTAGTAAGACCAGGAGAGGACAGGAGCTCCAAAAGGACAAAATATATCAGGGCACAGGGATCCTCTATGAGACTGTTTCTCCAACCAAGGACCATGTGTGGATATAACCTAAAACCCCTGCTTGGATGTAGCCCATGGTAGCTCAGTATCCAAGTGTGTTGTCCTAGTAAGGGGAACAGGAACTATTTCTGACATGAACTCAATGACTGGCTCCTTTAATCTCCTCTCCCCGAGGGAGGAACGGCCTTGGTAGGTCACAGAGGAGGACATGGTGGCCAGTCCTGAAGGTATCTGATAAGCTAGGGTCAGATGGAAGGGGAGGAGGACCTCTCCTAGCAGTGGACTTGGAAAGGGACAGGGAGGAGATGAGGGAGGAAGGGTGGGGTTGGGAGGGAATGAGGGAGGGGGCTACAGCTGGGATACAAAGTCAATAACCTGTGATTAATATTTAAAAAAAATAAGAATTAATATAAAAATTTATGGAAGAATAATAGAAATGTTGATCTGGAATAAATCGTATCAATAGATATTTCAAGAATATCTCTGCCCTTTCACGTACACATATTCCCCTCTACCTTGTTTTTTACGATAAAAACTACTTGAAAAATGGAAAAATGTACATTTATGTGTATGTATCTATGTATGACTCTGACTATGTTTTCTAGATTTTGCTTTTCTCCAATGGAGGGAAGTTTATGAAGAAGACTTTGATCGGGGAAGCTTGTATCTGGCTTGACAAAGTGGATCTGAGAAAAAGAATAGTCAATTGGCACAAACTTTTGGTCAGTACTACTCAAACACACTGAGGATGTGTCCACTCAGTGAGGACACGGAGCTGCATAGCCTCAGATCGAGACTGTAGTTGAATACTACTGTGCTGATCTGTTTTCAGGGGCAAACTTGAGAGAGGAAACAACAGGCACACAGAATGCGCTGTTGTGGATTACAAAACGACTTAAGGAGTTCACGTGTTGAACGCAAACAGATTAAAACGAGCCCTGAGACACTGCATTGCTCACAGCTGGAAAGAGAAACTGTGAAAGTAGATTTGATTCTTAAGGTAAATGTCTTAGATAAGACTGATCTGGAACTGAAGTAAAAGGCACAAAAGTTATGATGGTGTTCAAAGGTAGTGTGAAAGCAATTGCTTATACACACGGAAACCTTGTTAGAAAAACTGATGTAATGAATCTTGGTTTTCAAAAGTTCAAAACTCCTTGTCTAATATTCTTTATAAAACTTCTTGTTTTGAAATTCTGACATAAGATTCAACTATGGGTTGTCTACAGGACGAGAAAGTGACTGTGTTTATGGGGGAATTAAGCAAGAGTTATGGACTATGGATTTTAGATTACACTGTGCATGTTTTCTCTGTGTCTACGCTAGAAAGCTATACAGCCATAGGTCTGAATTCTATGTGGCATAAGCACATCTGTTTTGGTGTAATTTAACATAGTAAAGAGTGAAGATAATAGTAGGTTAAAATGAAATTGTATTTATCTAGAAATAAAACAAAAACTAGTGACTGGACATAAGGAAAAATGTTGACCCACAAAATATGTACCTTGGTTGAAAACATTACAATCTTCAATTTTCCATAAAGTCAAGTCATTCTCAACTGTATACACCAAGGCATCTAGATTAATCCGTGTGCTCTAAGAAGAGGGCTGCTTGTTTTCTAAGCATCTCCCATTACCTGTATCATTGTACATATTTCATGACATCAACATCATATTCTCTCTCCTTTCTTGTTAGTGATGATTTCATAATTAGGAATCCCATCGATGTTGGAAAAGAATGTAAAAAGTCAATGTTTGAAATTAAAATATATTTGACATATTTTAATAATACAGAACCAAACAACCAATGTGCGAATCATTAAAATGTAGTGTTCCTTTCCCCACCAACGTCAATAAAAAAAAAAGTAACACGGAAGTATGAAAAATGCATTCCTCTAGGATTAAAATCTTGGCTTCTGGTCCTGATTTTGCTACTGACCTTGCACATATCACTTTGAAAATGTCATTTAAATTCACTTTCCCCATACATAATGGTGTATCCCTATCCTTCTTCACAGAATGCCAGGAAGCTTAAATAAAGAGACATATGAAATAGAAAGCACATTTGCAAATACAGCTTTAAACACAAACAGAGATAATTATTATGTAGCTTTTTAATTCTCAAATTTTATATGTGAGAAACAACTTCCAACCAATGGTAAGCATCAGCATGGGATAAAAAGAGGGTAAATTGTTCCAAAACTTATTTATTTAAATATAAACATCCATTTAACCTGAAAAGATTGAATATTAAATAAAATTATTTGTTTTGCCAAATTTACTGAAGTACGTAGTTCTTATTCCATTCCCACATTCTGCCCAAAATAATCTAAATTGCTTTGCATAGTTTTTGAACCTAAAGATTGTTTCTTTTCCTAAGATGAAGTTTTAGTAGGATTACAGAAAACCTTGGAAATATTGGTTGGATATTGAATTTTCTCATATTTAGAGAAAAACCCTAAACTTGAAAGCAATGGAAAACTCTAGAAATAAAAATTTATAGTCCATAACAAGTTGTGTATCTTGCACTCATTAAAAACAAAAATTCAAATTTACTTTTCATTGTCCTAATATATCGTCACCCTCTTTTCTCTATTTTTTCATCCCTTCTACCCTGACAATGCAATACCATTTACGACTGATAGTCTTCTAAAGTGAACACGGGAGGTGTGAATTTTCAAAGATAAGATACTGCTAACATTTTATTTTTAGAGACCGCTAGGTCTGCCGGTGGTTGCTATAGCTATTTCCAGCAGACACTTGCACTTGAGGCAGCCTATAATCAGTCACAACTGGGGAAGAAAAGAGTCAAAGAGTATCATCTGACAACAAAAAGCTCTGCCATTTGCTCTTCACAATAAGCTGTGATTCATCTCTGATCCATCTACAGCACTGGTACTCCAAGGGTTTTGTGAAAGGTTGTTTAGCCAGGTACTTTACTCCATTCTAGTTGAAACTTACACAAACAGAGGGACCACCAGAGCAAGATCGTCTTGAGTAGCTATTAAGCTTGAAAGAATGGAAGCCTTCCTTGCAATGAAGCCCCTCCATTGTAAGGAACTAGGGATGGGACTAGATTGTCAGACCAATGAAGAGAGTCAGTGACAGAGCTTATTCTCACGCACCAGCATTCCCCTTGAGAAAGAAAACAATCCTGCCAGTGTGCCAAGTTTGCAGCTGAGGAAGCTCCTAGGTTGTAACTGGAATTGCTCTATGCAACACCAATTCTTATACGAATGCACTTCTGAGGGACGTTGATTGCCCTTCTCACAACAACAAAAAAATATTTCTTTTTTAATTGCAAATAGGGCTCTTAGTGTTTTTTACTTTTTTGTAAATAGCACGACACATGATTTCCCATTTTTTATTTTATGTTACGTTACAGAATTAGCTTTTTTATCTCAATAGTAACAGAGTTTACAATCTCTAATCACTAAATTATTAATCTTGCAGCATTTACACCTTGAGAAACATTTCGTTTTTCCTACCGATCCACTGAGTCATCAGAGATGGAAGTTTGTTGGTTTAAAATTTAGTACTAAGAAAGCTTTCAACAGAGAAGAAAAAGCACAGAGTGAATTTTTATAGTAGTTGGGAATTATAGAATCCTTATTATGAATAATGATAACACTAGTAGCAAGAAGTTGGTGTTTTACTTATCTGATTTTACTTAATATTAAGAAAAGTTTGGTGACTCTGAACTTGTTTGATTACCATTTCTGTTTCAAAAGAACAATACTAAACATTAAGGGATAGTAATTGCCCTTGATCCTTAATATGGTCCATATTTTAATAATTCATGATAGTTAGATATACACTCTCTACATATCTATGAGGTTGATTTAGGGAATCACACACACTAGTTGTATCCTGAGAATATTATAGCTGGTAACCAGCTGATACTGATTCTCATTATAGAATGGTTGTTATGACGTTGGTGGTAGCCATAGTTACAATAGTGCTGACAGTGAGGTGAAGTAAAATAAAGTATTTGTTACTATAGTGTGCCCAGTTTATTAGCAGTTATTTGATCAATGCTTCATTTCATTAAAATACCATAAAGATGTTTATAGTATTTTTTTACTTTATTATTTAAATCATAACTAACAATATTTTTAAAAAGTTATTTTAATTGCTATAATGTCAAATAGTCCAAAATTAACCAACTAGAGCTACATGTGTTTATAACTGTATGTATGACAGAAATGACTTTCCCTCCTTTTGAGTTTGAAATGAAATCGAAAGCTCAACAAATAATCATGAGCTTTTCCCTTAAGAATTATTTGCCTTTAGTGTAACAGAAGAATGAATGAGTGAGTGAAACCTATATTCTTACTGAATATGACATATTGATGTTTTCTGTATGTCTCGTGTGGCTATTGGTAAAGACACACATTAAATAAAAAGCATTTAACCAAGTTCTTTATCTGGTAGGTAGATTGAGATCATTTTCTGAATCCGTTATGCTGTATATAACTAGACATTTGATAACATAGAAACTGTAGAGTTAGCCTCATCCCTTGGAAGTCAGCATGTGACTGTGATTATCATGTGTCTGTGTATTTGTTTAGTGATGTGCTCAGGTGCTCCCACTACTGATTAATGTGTGTGCTAATATCTTAACAACACATCTGTTGAAAAAGGGTGTTTCTTGTCTAAAAAAAAAATGTTTAAAACCCAATAAAATTTATTTCCAACAAAACATGAAGTTCTTGGAGACGTGTCTCGTTTCCGACGATATGTTGCATGCTTTCTTGGAGATTTGCTAATCTTTTTATTATTATTTTTTTGTTTACCAAATATTCTGAAAAATTTAATGAACAAATGCAAATTCTTGGGCTATTGATTGTATGAACAGATCTGAAAAATAAATGAGAATTGTGTAGAAACAGAATGCTTGTAAATCTGTGTTGAATTTTACTCTATGTAAAAACACGTCTTGGTTTTGTGATTGTACACAGGTGTTTCTTGAAAACTTATGTAAACTGTGCTGTTTAAAGGCTGTTGTATCAACCTTACTAATAAATATTGAAAATATCAACTTTGGCATCTTGTGTTTATCAACAAGTTGTTCAACCCGGGCAAGAGTATAGTTATACACTGTCAGGCAAAGCTTAAAACGACTGCCTTACAAGAACAAAAGGAATAAAACGGTGAGTATAAATACTAGCTTTTGTGAAAAGAAGGTTAAAACAAAGGATTCACTCTGTCATCTGTTATTTTCTTGATGAAATAGGTATGAAGTCACCCACTGAGAAAGCAGTGAAAGCTAAAAGGGTTAACTGTTGAAAGAAAGAAAAAAAGACAAAATAGTCCTCAAGCAGAGTGGAAGAATAAATAAACTAAAAGATAAGGAAGCTGGAACGTTCCCCAGCCTGAACATAGAGTTTACATGTATAAGGAGAGAAAGGACTTGATAAATTCTAATTAGGACAGACCTCATCATATACAATAGACAACAATTGTGCATGAATGTGACACGCAGAATGAGATAATTTTAGATTGTTTAATGAGAGATGTTAAAAGAGCAAGCAAAGAAAAACTAAGGACAATGAAGTGGGAGGTGTAAGTGTATTACCAAATTAAACAAGGGAATAGAATCTCTGCGTAAGAGACAATCCCTGTCCCCATCACTGGGGAGGCCACTTGGATACTGAACTGCTATAGGCTACCTCTGTGCAGGGGTTCCAGGCCATCTCCATGAGTGGTCCTTGGCTGGAGTATCAGTTTCAGAAAAGACCGCTGTCCCCAGACTTTTAGGATCTGTCGCTGTCCTTGTGGAGCTCCTGTCTTCTTCAGGTCTTACTATCTCCCACTTCTTTCATAAGATTCCCTGCACTCTGCTCAAAGTTTGGCTATGAGTTTCAGCATCTGCCTCGATACCCTGCAGGGTAGAGCCTTTCAGAGGCCCTCTGTGATAGGCTCCTGTCCTGTTCCCTGTTTTCTCCCTCCTCTGATGTCCATGCTCTTTGCCTTTCTAAATGGGATTGAGCATCTTAGCCAGGGTCTTCCTTCCTGATTAGTTTCCTTAGGTGTACAGATTTTAGTATGTTTATCCTATATTATATGTCTAGTATCCACTTATGAGTGAGTATATATCCTGTGTGTCTTTCTGTTTCTGGGATACCTCACTCAGGATAACCTTTTCCAGTTCCCACCATTTACCTATGAACTTCATGATTTCTTGTTTTTTATCACTGAGTAATATTCCATTGTGTAAATGTACCACAATTTCTGTATCCATTCCTCAAATGAGGGGCATCTGGCTCTTTGACCTCCCCACCCTCGAGGGAGGAACAGTCTTGCTAGGTCACAGAGGAGGACTTTGCAGCCAGTCCTGAAGAGACCTGATAAGCTAAGGTCAGACGGAAGGGGAGGAGGACCTCTCCTATCAGTGGACTTAGAAGGGGCAGGGAGGAGATGAAGGAGGGAGGGTGGGGTTGAGAGGAAATGAGGGAGGAGGCTATAGATACAAAGTAAATAAAGTACAAAATACAAAGTAAATAGACTGTAATTAATATAAAAAATAAAAATTTAATAATAATAAAAAAGAATCTCTGCGTAAGTCTGCAAAACCGCAGGCATGCCTTCAGCAAGCCCAGCTTAGACAATGAGACAATAAAAATTATAGCTGAGGGAATATTAACAAGGTGCAGCAAAAGCTGTAGGTTTCTACTCTAAAGTCTCAAGAAAACTTTATAATGTTGGATAGATGAAAAGACAGGTCCATGAGAGTTTAGAATCCAATTGCATAAACTGCCAAAAACTCTGGTCTGGTGGAATAATTTTATTAATGTAAAATAAAGAAAGAACTTCAGCAGGGGCTATATTTAGGTTTTTTTTTCATTTATTAATAAAAGTTGTTGCAGATAAAATATGTGCAGATATATTTAAAAATCTCAATGCTTTGTATCTTTAAAAGCCAAAAAATTCTCAGTTTTTCAGTGTCCTCAGAACTGTATCTGGACAAAAACCAAACAACCAAACAACAACAACAACAAAAAGATAGCCAAACTGATCACTAGGAAACTGACCAATTCCCTTTTATTTTTTGTGCAATATTTTCCATTGACCTCTCCAGAAGACCAGGGTAATCAGATGAATATGTGTTTTCCATTGAAGAAGTGTCTATGGTGGGGACAGACTTTATTCTGTTGAGCTGGGGAATTTGATTCTTTGCTCTAACAAAAAAAAAAAAAAAAAAAATGAAGAAACTCTTATGGTCAATGGATAGGAGTCTTTGAAAGGTTCAAGAACTCCGTAAAGGGCCTTGTGCTGTCTCTTGTGAACGCTTAAAACAAAGCCCCACACTATTGGATGACTCCCTCACAGTACTATAAGGAAGAATAAATTGTAGCTATCTACAAAACTGAATACAGTTACCTTCAGGCGGACCCTTTCGGCTCTCACTTGGACTTCCTCATCAGCCTCTTTCTGGCATTGCTGTCTTGCAGCTCTCAAAGCCACCACCCCACAGCCATCTGGCAGCAGTACAGAAAGCACACCTGGCCCTATCATGCTCAGTTTAAAGCTATTCAGTAATATGTGATGCCAAAACTACAGCAGGAGGTAGAACACGAAGTTTGACTTCAGCTTTCCCCTCTCTCATTGTCTTGTTGGAAACCAGGCTGTTGATGCTTTCTCTTCTCTCTTGTACTATCATGAGAGCCCAAGTTATATTTTAAGCTTTAATTACTATGCCTAGGTGATCCATGAAACAAAAATGTCTTTGATCTGTAAGCCCCTTGCCCAAAACAGATACTTCCTGGAATGCTGGAGGCTATTGTTTATGGGAGATAACAAGCCACAAATGTTCACTTCCCTAGACAAGGCTGTTTGACCCAATTACACCAGACCTGCTCCATCACAGGTGGGCAGAAGTTATGTAACTAAATATGTTAGCTTGTAAGCTTGCCTCAGACTGCATGTAGGTAGGAGGGTCAAAGCCAGGAAATAATGTCAGGAATTAGCTTGACCCTGATTGGACCTGTGTTGAATTGTGGGTTCTGCCTTTTTAAGCTCTGGCAAAACCATGACTCGGGACCATTTCTGGAAACCCAGAGATGAACCTGGCCAATATTTAATTGAAGCTTGCTTCAAATTTTGCTTTAAATTGTGGCAGTGGTCTTATTCTCAACTAGTTGGATTAATACTGTGTAAACACATAGTATCTTGGTTTTTTCTGCAGCAGCAGGTATGGCAGTATGCTTTGATCTTCCAATATCTTTGTGAACCAGTCACAACTTGGAAATTTTTACTGTTGTGATATTGTGGTTGTGTTTTTTGCTCATATATATATATATGAACTTTTGCATACCCCATGTATTCTGTCCAAGCCTCACCTCACACAATCTTATCCATTTACCTATCTGTCCAGAGGCCTTTTCCCTGTTCCTCCAACATTATCTCATTTCCTGCATCATGGCATGCATCCCATGATCTAGATGTTTTTCTGGGTCTTTCCACCCTCAGTTATCACTACAAATTACAACCCTGAGCTTGGTTTAACCCTCAGGCTTACAGTCAAAGAGTACTCCGTTTCTTATTCTCACACTTACCACATATTTTCTTTATTTATTTTTGTGATTAGTTGACTAGTGCAAGATTACAAACTTCACAAGTACAAATATCCCGTGTATGTGTGGTAGTCATTATTATACCATTTAGTCTACTGTGGGTAAAACAGAAGAAGTATTCAACAAATACTGCTTGAAGTAATATTTGGGCCTCAGACAGTTTAACCCTAAAACAAAAGCAAATACCATGTAGAAGGGTAGGATGCCCTAACTTTTCCTGATAGAAAATATCTTAAAATATATGTTTTTATTTAAAATGACCAAGTATATGCAATTCAAAATAAAGATCCAAAGATAGAAAGGGAGCGAGGAAAAAAAGGCAACAGAAGAAACAAAAAGGAAAGAAAAGGAAGGCTTAAAATATTTAAAGAGCTCTAGAAAACGCTTCATTCTTTTCTCTCCAAGAAATAATGTATTTCTGGCAGCTTCATGATAAAATGCATTTTTTTGTTTGTTTGTTTCATTTTGAAGGAAGATAACTGAAGTTAGGCTCCTGTCCTCACACAGAGAGCAAGGCATCTCCTAAAGTCTGAACTACTCTACACAGAGGCTGGGTGACTGGCACCATGTACTCAGGTATTTACAGTTGAAAGAAGTGCCCAGAGTCGTCCCTAGGTTGTTAAATTGACTTGAGGCTTTGAAGAGGAAAGAGCCTGGAGACTGAAAGTAGTGTGTCTAAATTTTGGTCTAGCTGAAGAAAATGATAAGGCCTTAAGTACTTCTGTCAGTGAATTTAATATAAAATTATCATTACACCTTACACAGTAAATATATTTCGTAGACTATTTCAGTTGAATTAGAAGATAGATTGAGAAGAAAAATTATTCTCAGATAATTTTAACATATTGTAATTGTAATGCCGTTGCAAAACAAATTAAAGTACTTAAAGGAATCCAATTTATAGAAAGTCAGCATGAATGCTGATTAGGTAATGCCCCAGAAATAGTGCGAACTTTAGAACCTGAAAGAGAAATAACCTTGAAAGTGAATTGTTGTCACTGAACTCACCAAAAGTATTAAAATCTCAAGTGAGATCCTAGAATCAGGATGATCGGCAAGACATTCGATCTCATTTTAAGTAACTAAATGACAATGATAAATAAAAGAAAAGGAAGAAAGAAAAGAAGGAGAGAGAGGGAGAAGGGTGAGAGGAAGGAAGGGAGGGAGATGGGAATAGAGAGAAGGAAAGTGAAAAAGAGAGGAAGGGAAGGAAAGAGAGAGAGTAGGAGAAAATGAGGAAGAGAGAACAAAACAAGGAAGGGAGGGAGAAAAAAATGAGAGCAAGTAAGTCAACATGGTGGAAGAGATTAACTCCTACATTCCAAAAGATTCCAGTATCTGGTCTCTAAGCAAGTAGCTGTGACAAATTAATAATCAGGGATATTTTTGACTATCTCTTTTCACTATTACCAACACTTTATCTTGATTTTTCTTAAAAAAAAAAAAAAAAAA